TCATCCATGAAAAAAATAAATAAACACTAAAATTATTACACATACAAATAAAAAAGATAAGATAAATAATGGAAAAAATCATGCATGAGTTTATTTTCTTAGACAATGACGTCAAGAGTGGATGTGTACAGATAAATAAACAGAGAATATTCAAGGATGCTTTTCTGTGTTTTGATTATTGATTAGATATACATTCATACAATGTACGAGTAAATCCATAATATGTAAAATTAAATTTAAACTTTCTTAATATTCCTCGAACAACTGGCTGTAATTTTGTAGACATTCTACGTGTAGAACATGTAATGAAACATGTTAATACTAACGCATGTGCTGTTTTCCGTCTTTTATTAATAACGAATTAGTCAAACTGCTTCAATGAGATTGCATAAATAAAGTAACTTCTGACAACAAGTAGAAGAAAAGTAGTTAAACTACTGCATTTTCACTATGACTAGTAACAATTTTCAAGACATTTAGTGAATTTATTGAGACGTATTAGAACAAATAAAATTCATCATTGTCGTTTGAGTAAAGGACTCGTAGACACCATAAATATCAATTTTGGAAACTTTTAGGTTTTTGTGGATTGTACTATTCATCTTCATCAATCATGAATCAAAATTTCTAATATCATTTAGTAGATTTATTGAGATGTATTTATTTACAACTTTGTAAGATGACATTAAACAAACATTATCTAAACAAAAAAGGTAGGTTTTCTGTTATATCGTTTTATCTCCATTTTTGTCAAATATCGAGGTATTTAACTTAGGCAATTGTAGTATTTTAATGTATTTATTGGGTCAAAGTGACCTAATCCACGATTACTGTTGATTAAAGTTAAATTATAAGTATCTAGTAGCTGGTACAATGAAACTGGTGCCTCAAAATCCCTGATATCCCTACTAATTTCCTCATATCATGATCCTATCTTAAGTTTGGTCTTCTAGGTCTCTGAATTCCTCGTTGGTACCATGCTGTAATTTTTGTAGTCCATTTGTTGTCCGTCCTTCTTGCCAGGTGTCCTGTCCATTGCCCCACTCGAGGGATTTCATTCTGTGAATGACAATTACCTGAGTCTTTTGACGTATTCACTCTATTCTTTTACGGTCTTTCTTGGTTATTTCCAGCATATTTCGTCCGATTGAGTGTTGTGTGACCTGCAGTTTCCTTATAATTCCAAAATTAGTACTAGGTATTTTTAATTAACAATAATTTTTCTTACGACATATTTAATTATAACTCCGATCCGGTTAATTCCAATAATACTTACCTACAAAATTTCAAGCTTTCTGCCTGTTTCTAATTACAGACAACAATCGTCCCACTGATCAGCACCGAGACAGAGAAACACAAATAGAGAAAGACAGGAAAAAAAACTGTTTACAACGCATTGTTTACCATTTGGCAATGTGGCAACGTTACGTTACAATGTGCTAACAACGCTGGACGCAGAATTCCATTGCAGGGGGTGGGGGCGAGGGGAAGGTACCGAGGCGACGGCAGCGTTGGACCGAGAGGGGAATACTCAGAGAAATAAGCAAACATAGAGGTGATAATTATCATAAATATAAAGTTTTATTTTGTCGTATATTAGGGCTCAAACTCACTGACGACCAGGTCGCAACGACCTGGCCGTCGGCTGGCCGGATGCATTGCGTTTTTAGCTGCGGCCAGATGAACGACCAGTGTCAACAGAGTTGTCAGATCTAACGATTTTTTTACGTTTTACCAATTAGAAAATATTGTTTCAGAAATGTTAAAATATCCGAGTTAACTAAAAAGCGAAATTGCTATTCACAACAAACAAAAAGCATTGTGTACGCGCGACCGACAAAAAGGGAGACATTCTGTTTCTTTTTTCTACTGATATGGCGCCCTTATCGACTTTAGAACTAAATATATTAGGGCCATCGTAAAAAAAGATCGTCAGATACTGGCTTTAAATATAAGCAGGTAGAAAGTTTAGCTTCCAGTTATTACAATGTTTACAATATAACGAAGAATCTACAACAGTAATTACTTCTATTTTTATGAATGTTTAAGTTACTTTCTTATTTTTTTTTCAAAATAGTGTACCTAGTAGAAATATAATCTAATGAACCCTGTTTGAAAAAAGTTAAATTAAATATAAGATTTAAAATACAGTTGCCCTCCTTGTACATGAGTACAATACAACTAAAAAAACTAATTTAATAAAAAAAACAAGTGGTTGTGGCTCTTTATGTCCCTTTAAGTGCTATTAAGAAGGTGAGTTTTGTGGATGTAGATAACAACTGTTTATATATTTATAATTAATTTATTTTTGTTTCCTTAAATATTTTGATTAAAAGAAAATATGTAAAAGCGGGCAACGCTGTGCCGGCCAAGCTTAATCACGCGACTAAAAGTTTATTTGAAATGAACTGTATCTAGGTTATAACATGTAAGGTTTTATCACCAAAATAATACAAACTCAAAACTCTCTAGGTTTACTTATTTCTCTGAGAGAATACTGTTCGTGGTGGACCTTCGGCACTGTGAAGCGGAGTTTTAGGGGGTGAGGGGGACGGCGAGGCATATAAATGAGACCGGCTTTGGAGTAATCGTTACGGCGGTGACGTCACGACCAATGGCTGCGACGGGCTACGTCACAGGGTGCGCGCGGCACCCTCGCGTATCGTGTTTGGGTTGTAAAATTAGACCCGTTCAAGTATTCCGCGGCGTTGCCGATAAGAAAAAAATATACTCTAACTTCAGGAAAGCAGTCCTAGTTTTCTTATAATTTCGAGATATGTACAAATATTATTGATTTAATTTAATTTCTTTAGGTTGTAATTTTTACTGCTATGACGAAAAAAATATTTAGTTTCATACATTGTAGATTGTATGGGAGGATCTATTGAGTCCCTCTTTTTTGAGTTATAACTCAGGGGTTTGACAAAAGCCACTATCCGAGACGGTTTTATAGGTGTTAGTTCTCCATCTCCGATATCAGACGTACCAAAGTTTATGACACGAATGGTTGTCATCTCGGTGCAGTAAAGAGGTGTTCTGGTGTTTCCCCATTTTCCCCACAGAATCTGCATTCGCTGCTGTACCTTAGTTTCAATCTACTGAAGTGTTCATTGAGGAGACAGTGTCCTGTTAAAAAAAACCGTGGCAATTCGGAAAATTGTTTTTACTTAAATCAACGAAAATCTTTGATTTTTCTCGATCGTAAGTACGGAGAAATTTCTTCCAGTGTTTTAGACGTTGGAGCATTCCCATTCCAGCTTACCGATGTCTTTCAGGTTCTTGATTTCCGCTTTAAGTTGGTTTAAACTTGGGAAGCAGAACGATTCTAGCCCAGTTAGTGGAAAGTTCGCTCCTTTTCTAGCTAGATCGTTTGCTTTTTCATTAAGCGGCCCATACATTATCAAACAATTTGCGCAACATAGGCTGTTGCGCAACAAGTTGCCAATGTATGGCCCTGTTTGTTACGTTGCGCAATTGTTTGATAAGTTTTAAGAATGTTGGAATTCTTTTGTGCAACGGGACTGTTTGCGCAACGCGTTGTGTAGTATATATGTGTGTTGCGCTTCGTTGTGCAATATTTTAGTTCTTTCATCCAAATTATTTGTTTTCTTTTTCGTTTTTTGGTAGGTAACATCCTGGCTGGCACCCAGAAAATAAGGACTTTATTTTCTTTACCTAATTTGTTTAGCTTCTCTATGCATTCTTTGACCAACGTCGAATTGATGATTACTGATTATTTCTTGTTTCCGATAGTTCCTATCTAAGATAGGATGTATGTATCTTTCGATAGCATAGATTTCTGCCCGAAGGATGTTGGAATAGGTACCTATTGGTTAGGAGTATTTAATTTTCGGCTATAATATTCTAATACCTGTCCCTGCTTTGGTTTTGGAAGCAGCAGTATTCCACGTTAAGGTATGGTCTATGCTCTAAGTGGAATTCTCCTTTTGAAGGTGTTCTAAGCTCCTGAGATGTTTCTCCTTACATACGAAATAGTTAAACAAATTTAAAAGCAATATCAGTCAAAGAAGATGTTTTATTTTATAAAGTACTGTTATTATTATAATGTCCCGGCAGTCTGACAGCAAGTTAAAATATAACTTAGATATATAAAAAAACATTTTGAGAATTGTTGTTTATAAAGCAATAAACTTTTTATTTCTAACAATTTCTCTTGACGGATGATAATAAAAGGCCAAAATGACAGTACTTGCAAACTGTTAACCTAACTCTACAGCTTCATTCAGAACCTCCAATTAGTGGAATAAATTAGTGGTTTCAATTAGCATAGAAGTTTGTTCCTATAATTTCAATGTAAGCATTCAGAACGTCAAAATTAGTGGTAGACATTTTCAATTAGTAGAAAAAGTTATCAAACTTTTGACTTTTCCACTAATTATACTTCAAAATTTGCGAGAAATGTTATTTTGGCCTTTGATTATCTTCCATCAAGAGAAATTCTGGCAAGAAATCAAAAGTTGATTGTTTTATAAGCTAAATATTAGGCTTTCTCTATGGTTACAACGCAAGTTGTTGCTAGGATATTCTATTAATTTTAATTGTGTTTTTTAAGCATTATGAATGATCGTAAACTAAAAAGTATAAAGTGTAATTGAAACCACTAATTTATTCCACTAATTGCGAGGTTCTGAATGAAGTTCTACTAATTGAAAGTTATTACCACTAATTTTGACGTTTTGAATGCTTAGGTACATTAGAAATTAGAGGGACAAACTTCTACGCTAATTGAAACCACTAATTTTAAGGATCTGAATGAAGCTTAATACATATTAATTTAAAAATGAACCTTGTAGTTCTTGGAAGGCTTAGTTTTATACTCTTATATTCTGGAAGAAATCTAATGGAATAATATAACTAATCAAAAATGAAATAATTGGACTTGTGTTGGAATGTGTTTTGCTTGTAGACCGAAATATGTCTGGCAACGCCGCGAACTGTCGTTGTGCGCCGTTGCTTTCGGCAACCGATCGTTGCGCCTCGTCTCGTCCGTTTTTCAGTCTGTCAGCGAAGTTGCTCGAGCTCGCATTCGTCCCGACTAATTTTCGGTGTTTCGTTGTGTGAAAAGTTTTCATTTTTATTGTTGGACCAGTTAATTGTCGTTCTCTACTTCCTCCGAACTTTGTTCCACTAATTTCCGTGACATTTGTGCGTTGAATTTGTGTGCTTTCTACCGGATTTTTTTATTTTGTGCATGTGGAACATCTATTTTTAAAACTCGTAATGGTTACGCGCGTACCAATCAAACACCGACGCTGAACCGCGCGAGAGGCCATCTTTTGGGTGTATTTTTTTAAATCTACGTGTAAAAAACATGCCCGCAAACATTATTTGATATTCGCTGTTTTTGTTTTTGTTCGACGATAACCGGACCCGCTTTATATATGGTAAAGATGTCAGTAATGCAGATGCAGCAAGCCAAACGGCAGCAATGCTACCTGTGCGATCTCCCTCGCATGCCCTGGGCAATGGTGCACGATTTCTCCGAAGCAGTTTGCCGAGGATGTGTCAACTACGAAGGTGCAGACCGAATCGAAGTGGTCTTGGACGCGGCGAGACAAATGAAACGCGCCCACGGCTTCCAGGAAACGAGGGGATCGAGTCACGGAGCAAGCAAGAGTCACAGGGATCACCAGAACGGTGAAGTGGGTGGTGGCTCGAGCAGGTCTCAGAGTCAATCCGCCGCTCATCATCAGAGTTACGGGATGCATCACGGGCGCGGGAGTATGTTGGAGGGGTATGCAAGTGCACAGCCACCCCCGCCGAGTAGGGGAGGGCAGGGACTAAGTAGAGCGCAGGTGGATGGGCAGCAAGAGCACGAGGCTTTAGTAAGTGTCCGGAATACTAATTGGGTGAAGTTAAGTCTTTGGTCGATGAAAATTGCGCTACTAACACATATTTTATAAGGCGGGAATTTTAGATGACTTGACTGGGGACTTGAGTTACTATTGTTACTTAGAGCTACTAGCACAATTCTTACTTGTAGATAATATGGGAGGGGGCTAGAGCCTCTTTCTTAAGTTATAACTTATTATACAGCCTTAGGGCTTTGACAAAAGGCAGTGTCAGACACGGTTTTACAGAGGTTAGTTATACCAAAGTGTATGGCAGGAATGGGTTTCTTCTTGGCGCATTCAGTGAGGTGTTCTGGTGTTTATTTTCCCATTTTCCCCACAGAATCTGCATTCGCCGTTGTTCCTTACCTTCAATCTACTGAGGTATTCATTGAGGAGTAAATATGTTAAAAAGCCCGTGATAATCTGAAGATTGTTCCTACTTAAATGTAGGAAAATCTTTGATTTTTCTCGGTCGTAAGTCCCAATAAATTTCTTTGAGTGTCTTAGACTGTTGGAAGATTCCTATTCCAGATAAGGGATGGAGTCTTCCAGGTTCTTGAGTTCCGCTTTAAGTTGCTTCCACTTCGAGAAACAGAACGGTTCTAGTCCATAACTAGACGATAGCAAGCTTAGTGTTTTTTTAATTAATATTCAGTCCTTAAGATATAAAACGGATGAATTATATCTTTTATTAGAAGAGCTCAATTTTCCAGAAATTGTTGCCATAACTGAACATTGGTTAAATATGGATGAGCCGGTATTTGTCAAAAAATACACTACATTAACTAGATTCAATAGAAGTAACTTATCTCATGGAGGTACTATGATAATGTCTACTAACATATCCGAAAAAAATTTTGAATTTTCCGTCGTTTATCATAATGCTTTTGACCTCTATATTATTTGTATTTACAGAACACCTGACGCCGACGTACACATTTTCAGTTAAAAATTACTAAGCTTGCTTGAATCCCTACCTATAAAAGTAAATTAATTTTGTGTGGCGACCTGAATAATGACTTTTCCAGTGTGTATGCAGCTAAGGAGTCTCTCCAGTCCATTTTTCATTCTTTTCGTATACTCATGCATGTTGACTCACCAACTAGAATAACTAAAACTGGCTCTAGTACTATAGACTATGTCGTGTCTTCTTTTGACCCGGAATTCGTTGACTGTAGAGTCCTTCACTCAGGTTTCTCTGATGCGGCAGTATTGACAAAGTTTTTGCCAAAATCCAAGTGCAAAAATACCTCGCGCAAATTGGGCCGTATTTTTTCGGATGAAAATTTTCTAAATTTTCACCACCTATGTCTAACAACTGAGTGGGTTGTCCTCTCGGCTGACGTCGATTCCGAATTTTCTAGATTTATGGATACCTTGTCTAATCTGGCGTGCAAGGCGTTTCCTCTTAGGCCTATCAAAAGTAAGCAAGGTATACCCTGGTCTACGACAGGCTTGCGTATATCTGCAAAGAACATGCGCTCATTATCTCACCTTAAGAAATTCACGGACAGCGTCTTCTTTCATAATTACGCGAAACTTTATAGAAAGGTTTATCGTAAGACTATAAAAGCTGCCAAGGACATTTATTATAATGCGAGGCTATTGGCTATTGTAAATGACTTAAGGGATAAGACTTCTTCGTCTGGCACAGTTTTCAATTCACCTGAAGATTTAAACACTTATTTTGTTAATATGGCTAAAAATTTAGTGAACACCATAACTCCTTCCCATGATTCACGTTCATATCTCCCTAAAGCAAATGAGAATTTACAGTTTCTTCTTCACGCCCGTAGCATTAGATGAGCTCCGCAGTACAATTAATAGTATTAAAAACAAATCCTCATCTGGGACTCATGGGCTTTAGAATTTTTAGAATTTAGAATGAGTGGGAGGGGGGTTAATCACTTCGACCTTACAGATCCATTGTGTCCCCCTTTCTTGAATCATAACTCATCATACAGTCCCAGGGCTTTGACAAAAGCCAGTATCTGGGACGGTTTTATAGAGGGTAGTTCTCCATCTCCAATACCAGTCGTACCAAAATTCATGGCACGAATGGTTGTCGTCTCCGCGCACTCAGTGATGAGGTGTACGACTCATGGGCTTACTCTCAAAATGTTCTCTGAACTTCCTGAATGCACATTAAACCATCTTACTAAGTACTTTAATTAACGAGTCATTCCAAAAAGGAGTTTTTCCAAACTGCCTTAAGACAGCAATAATTATTCGTTTGCTTTTTCATTACGTTCTATCCCTTGAACATTTTTTGGACATTCTGTAGCAATAAAAATTGCTGACTGTAAAGTGAACTGCAACTTGATTACCAGGTTACGAACGGAGTCTTCCATGTTCTTGATTTCTGCTTTAAGTTGGTTTAAACTTGGGAAGCAGAATGGTTCTGGTCGAAGTGAAGTGTTCGCTCCCTTAGTGGGCTGCCACCCAGAATAGGAGGACGTTATTTTCTAGCTAGAATTTTATTTAAAACTCATAGTAGGTACAATAAAGTTATGTTAATGGATAGTTCTTCAGAAACAAAAAGAGAATTGCCTGAACTTTCCTGAGAACTATGCAAATCTATCCCGAACTAATGAATTTTCCAAAAAAAGTGTGTCAGCTTCACATAGCTGTATAGAACAGAATAATATTTTTACTAGATGAAGCCTCTGCTGATCTATGTTATATAAAACAGCTCCTGGCTAAAGGCTCCCGGCCTAGTTTTAATATGTGAACGCCTAGGAATAGATACTCCTCTTAGTTGAAATTTATATAAATCATTGGAATAAAGACAATTTAAGCCTAACAAAGCATTTTATTGTAGCTAAGTAGTGACATTCACTTGAATATTTGTAAAGAAGATACTCATTCTATAAGATTAATTATATTTGCGATTGTTTAAACCCAGGCTCCTCAGACTACTGTCTTGTTACTAATCTTGTCTTCTCTAAAGGACTTGCAGAATTTTACTGCTTACCTTCACAAAATGTTTTCATTTATTATCGAGTCGTTCTCCCAATTTAAAGGGATTAATTTTTAGATAAATTAACACAATTTATATGGTGATTCTATCTAACCCTGTTATTTTATCCCTTAAGTAAATATAAACCAATCCGATTTGTTAGGGTTAATCATTTAATTATTGTGTTATTAATCTGTTGACATGTCAAGGTCATTTTAATTGATTTTTTCGAAGAAATTGAACGTAATTATCAATTAGAATATACCGCTACAAGTCCTAGAAACTTTGTAATTCCTATCTTCTTGTTTATATTATCATCATATCACAAACTACGACTCACCTTTTGTTTGCACAAATTGGGAAGATAATTTTTTGTATTATTCCAAAACGAAGGTTAAATATAATTGTCGATTTCCGCGTGTTTTCATTTATGTGAAATATGTCTACGCTTTTTGTTTCAAGATAAAAAGTTAGAAACACTTCCTATTACTATCGCAATTTTTAAATGTTTTACTATTCGTTAATATGTGAAAAAGTGCATATTATATGTATGTCTAGTCGTCGTAAATCAACTTTTTTGTTAACATTATTTTTTTAACGTTATCATTGCATTTAAGTTGTTTATGTAGTACTATATCGCCACGTACCACGTTGTACATTAATGCAACAATTACAGAGATGTCAAATTTTTGTAACTTTACTTTCAAGTACCTTAAAAATCGTTTTTCTTTCTGATTTGACAAGATTGAATCACACTTATTTTGATTTTTAAATGATTTAGTAGCAAAATTCCGAGAAGATTTAACTTTTGTTGTAGAATCTTTAATAACGATGTGACATATTTTCGATATAAAAGAAAATTTATAATAGTAACGGTATAAAATTAAACTTTTGGCAGTTCGGAAAGATTTTGGCCTTGTTTATGAATCACTGAACATATAATGTATGTATTTTGGCAACGAGTTTATATTTTAAATAAATATTTCCAGTTTCCACGAATTGAAGTAATGAAAACGTCAACATCAAAATTAATCAAATTAATAATTTGCCTTTATACATGCAATAATATTGTTATTGCGCCGTGCAGTTTGCAATTTAAGTACCATTATAAATAATATTTATTGATTGTATTTCACTTTATTGAATTTCCACTATAAAATTTCCCTAATTGAGTTTTTACATATGTACTTTAACTGTCTGCAGTTTAACAAGTTTTAATTTTTCTGTTTTGTTACTTGTCCTCTCATTTTTGGGTATGTTTAAACTTTTTTACTAATTAATGTCAATACTAATGTGTTTTTAACTTGGATAATGACTTGTTTTTAACTTGGGTAACCATATTTCAGACTGGTGTTTTTACAACTTCTGGTAGGGATCGGCAAGACAAGAAATCTTGCCTTGACAAGCAATTTCTAGTCTTGAAATATTTTCAAGAATTAAAAAAAATCTTGTCTTGACCATTTCTTGAGAGTTGATATCTTGTCTTGATTCAAGAAATCTTGAAATATCTTGATATCTTGACAAAAGGGAAACCCCTGTTTAAAATTCGTTTATTAAAGGGGAACCCCCTGTTTAAAAGTCGCGGTGAGATTGGTTAATATGATGTTTATGCTTTATGTAAAATCGAGGGTCAGGCATCTAATTTTCAAAAAATTCAAAAACTTTGTGGACACATTATACTACATACAGTAGCCAAAATCATCAGATTTACATACTTTTGTTAATTATTATTAGTATTATCTAACATTAAAATGAGTGATTGTGATGGTTCGTTGAGCAGCATATCTGAGCCATTCGTAATTAAATCTGGTTCAGAATACCTATCACCTCAGACACCTGGACGTAGAAGTTTAATTAGTGACTTTGACAGTAGTATACCTTTTACATAAACTATTAAAAAGAACGGAAGAAAGGGGCGCACAGTGGGGTATTTGACACAGATAGTTGATCGAAATTTTTTTTATGTAGACCTTATATAAATTATTGCTATTTTCAATTAAAGAGGAAATAATATGAACAAAATAAAGGATAATTCGTTGATTCTAAAAAAAGAAAGAAAAATCACTGTTCCAGTGTTTCCACGGTCAATGCCACTAATGCCAGTAGTAATATCGCAACTAATACTACTAATGCTACGACTGATCCGCGAGGATTGCCTATACAACTTACGTCGCTACTAATGCCAAATTGTGCTATACTGCTAATGGCACTAATGCGATCGCTTTGTACACAACAATGCCATCGCGGTTTACACCTCGCATTAGTATATCACTGATTGGCAAATTAGAGGAAACCAAGAATGTTTTTCTCATTTTATCAGCAAAGTCGCAGTATTTTATTTTACTGTATGAAAGCCCAATGTTTACTAAGTTAAACGTATATAGACAATATGCTGAATTCTTTGAAATGCGCAACTAAATCTCTAAGTATAATAAAAATGTCACAAATTTAATCAAATTTTCTGAACGCCTAGAATTTTTTTTTTAGAATGAGTGGGAGGGGGGTTAATCACTTCGACCTTACAGATCCATTGTGTCCCCCTTTCTTGAATCATAACTCATCATACAGTCCCAGGGCTTTGACAAAAGCCAGTATCTGGGACGGTTTTATAGAGGGTAGTTCTCCATCTCCAATATCAGTCGTACCAAAATTCATGGCACGAATGGTTGTCGTCTCGGCGCACTCAGTGATGAGGTGTACTGGTGTTTCACCATCTTCCCCACAGAATCTGCATTCGCCGTTTCTTCTTAGTTTCAATCTACTGAGGTGTTCATTGAAGAGACTTCTGAACGCCTAACTTTTAGTTGCAAAAAAAATCGTTAGTATAGAGAATATCAAAATAACTAATACGTTTTTGTAGAATACATACCTGCAGCTGGCTGAGCCATTTTCAATCAAAACAATAATATAAACATAAAAAGAGCACAAGAACAACAACAATTTATAATTTTAAACATAAAATTTAGCCATTTACCTCTTATCTGTGAGAAGTAACAACTTTGACGTTTCGTTGAAACAAATGAATGCAACTAAACACACCCATAGCAATGCCATTCATGGCAGAGATGATTTAACTAATCATTTATCTTTTTTGGGAAGTCTTAAAACACATTTGCTTTTTCGAATTTTGATCACCTTTTTCATGCAAATACCCCACCGTGGGGCGTCCAAAATCAGTCTTTTATTAGTTAATCATTTTTATCCCCCACTTACAATCATATAATTTCCACGTTCAACCTTTCCAGGTGACCAGAACCGCCGTCCGCCTCCCCACGCATTTGACAGCCGCCGCTCACCACTCGCTCCAGACTCACCACCACACGTCGGCCGCCCCTCGCCAGCAATCCCTGCCGACGCAGGGCATCAAGCGCGGCCTCTCCAGCGCCGACGACGACGATCACCACGCTCACCACCACACCAACGGCGAGGTGGTGGCGGCCAAGCGCATGCTCTCGGTGGACGAACACGCCGCGGTCAGGCAGGAGCCGCAGATGGTGAGGCCGCCCCTCACCCGTGGCGAGAGTCTTCCTGCCGTGAGCTTGGCGCAGCCATTCGTGGTGAGCACGGAGAGAAGTTTCAAGCAGGAGAAGCACCCGATCAGGACGGGGTCGTTCGATTCGGGAGCGGCTTTCAAAGGAACTGGTGAGTGTTTTAAATTAATTTTAGTTGCTTGAAATTAATCTTGTGAGGTGTTCATGGAGGAGACAGTGTCCTGTTGATAATCCGAAAATTGCCCTTACTTTTAAATCAAGGAAAATCTTTGATTTTTCTCGGTCGTAATTCCTGAGAAATTTCTTGGAGTGTCTTAGACCGTTGGAAGATTCCCATTCCAGGTTACGAATAGAACCTTCCAGGTCTTTGATTTCCGCTTGCGAAGCAGAACGGTTCTGTTCCAGTTAGTGGGAGTGTTCGTTCCCTTTTTAGCTAGTATTTTAGCTTTGCTTTTTCAATACCTTCTATTTTCTATCTCTTGGTGGGCTGGCACTAGGGAATGCAATCCCGCATCAAAATCTCAATCCCGCAAACCTGCGGGATTAAAGCAATCAATCCCGCGGATCCGCAAAATTGCGGGACTGTAAACAATAGTCATACATTTGGTCCTAAATAGTACAAAAGGCATTGTACATTTTGCATAGGCCCACAATGCAACCGATGTATACAGGGTGTTCAAAAAATATATTTAATATTAAATAAACTTAAATTTTATTATAATTTATCTACTTATTTTATAAATAAAAATATTATTCTGATGTTGAAGTTTTTTTTAACTTGTGTTAGTTATCTGCTTTTAGATATACTCTATATCAATAATTTTTTGGCATATACAGAATGTACAAAGCTTTTTGTACCATTTAGGACCATACGTATGACTAAAAATGCATATTTTTCGAAAAAACGTCGTATTTTCCATAAAACAAAAAATGAAAAACCGGCCAAATTGTTTATTCTAATTTCAATACAGATTAGTAGTACTTGGTAAAAATTTCGATTTTTTAAAAATTGTAAATTTGCGGTAAAATATTCTTGCCCAAAATTTCACACTCTTATAAAACACCCTGTATACGAGAATTCGCTAAATATATTTTCGAAAGCCACATAGCATCTTAATAACAATAGATGCATCTAAAACCTGGTCCAAACCGCATCCCAAAATCTTTTTTAGTTAAAGAGATATTCAACTTTAAATTTACCCTAAAATTTTGCGTGTCCCGATAATTATGTCCGCCAGTTTTTTGACGAAATTGTCCACAAGTACTTGTTAAACGCTTTTCTTCACTTACGCACAGAAAGAACGCCAGAAAGAAATCTAACAATGTTTGTTTCACTTAATGGCCAAGCCGTAAGGGGAATCCCCCGGGTTCCGAGCGTCGACGCATCGGCCCGGAACGAAGCGGTTTAACCTTGATCGAGATCGATATAGAACCCAGTAGTAAAGTGTCGATCCCGCGGATCCCGCACGGTAAATCCCGCAACTTTGATCCCGCCGAATCTCAGAGGGATCCCGCATTTGCGGGATTGCATTCCCTAGCTGGCACCTAGAGTAGGGTGAATTCGCCAGTGATCGCACAGTTTAGGAAAAGCTAAGTTTAAATTGTTGATTAAATTTTCTTTATTGGTGGCATGGAAATGAAATCTTATGAAATAGATAGTGTGGTTAGGTATCATGTTAGATATAACTGTTTTTTTAATTATTGTTTTAAATGCTAAAGTGCTGTTTTGTCAGTAGTAGTGTCCAGCCTGGTAGTTACCATAAGTCGGACAATTTGTGATTGGCTGATTCTGAACAGCCCTTTACTTAATATATGCATAATTTTAAAGCAAATTTAATTTTGAACATTATATACCGTTTATTGTTGTATGTTATCTATACGAAAAAATCATATTTAAACGATACCAACGCGGTTTATAAAACCATGCTCCCAATAGTAAACAGAGTTTTCAATTTTTCTTCTAGATACAATTTTTTCAAATGTATTAAGTAACACCTGTTTTTTGATATTACATTGATATTTTGCTATAAACTGGCTAAATATCTTTGAATATTATTATAATTTTTTTTATTCTTTGACATTGTAAACATTTATATATGTTTATTTTAACAATAAGACTGACAATATTATTTGTATAATGTTTTGTATTATCTTTTGTTTGTTTGTTTGTGTACCTTGTTTTTTTTTACTTTGTTTGTTAGTTTACCTTTGTCCACAAATTGAAAATTTTTTTGACAATAAAGGCATTTATTTATTTATTTATTTTCTTGGAAATCCGCAAACGGCCAATTTTTCAATCCAGGTAACAATTTTTTTTTCAATTTCTCTGATTAAAACAAGTTCTGGTTCTATTCGTTTGCAAACGTCGCTTATTTCTCTTTAATACGGTCCTGTACTGTTGACTTGGAATCCTGTACTGATGGCATGTTTTACGCGATTTTCCCTCTTCTCGGACAGTTTGCACTGTTTTTTTCTAATGCATCTTTATTATATTGATGAAAAATCCCTGTTACTTTAGGCTTCATGCTTAAAAATAACCAAAATCTCATAAAAAATGAGTCTGAACTCTGCAATATGACGTCGAAAAGGGGCTACTGTGCGATCTCTCAAATATATTAAATTTAGCGTTGACCAGTGGTCGGACAACTTTTATTTCCTTTGATCTGCGTTTGTGTTGAGTTTTTGCTGTCCGACCACTAAACACTACCAAAAACTCATGTTTTATTATATTTCAAACGAAAAAGACAGTAGATATTACATATCAATTATCAAGAAAAAGACAAACAAAAGAGTTATTTTTTCAGCAGTCGGACACTCGTCCGACTGCTGGACTGGAAAACAAGATTATATACGGACACGAGTTTATCGGACACCTAAATTAACATTAAAATATTAAAAAGTATTTTTTTGATATTTGAAATAAAAGTTTAGATTTATTATTTATATATTTTATTTATTTAAGTTTATTCTACACCCACGTAAAGTTATAAGTACTTCATAAATTAAATACAAATTTTTAATTACTTATTTCCCAATAAATACGTTTTGTCCGACTACTGGTGTACATATGTCCGACTACTAGCATATTCACCCTAGGCGAACTTTATTTTCTGTGCCTAATTAGTTAAGCTTCTCTAGGCATTCTTTGATCAACTTCGAATTGCTGGTTACTGTATTGATCGCTTTTAAGGCTGCTTGAATATCGGATAGGATGGCTATTGTAGATTTTTAAAAAGTAGTACTGTATTTTATATCCTTATGAAGTTTTGTAGTTCTAAAATAACTTAATCGATTAGTAATTTCAACAGTTACCACCACTACCTGTTAGATATGCATATCTTTTTAACAGACATATCACTGAAATGTCTAATTGCACCCGTGAACAGTAATTATAATAATATACGCGGAATTCCAACCGCCATAAATTACCCGTAAATACTTATAAATTTAGCATATTAAACGCAACAATTTATTTAAATAATAACGTGGAAAAGTTGTTCAAGGACGTTTCAAAATCGAACATAACGAATGTTTTTATACAGGGCGTCCCATTTTCGTTTTTTGGGGGATTTTTTTTCGTTTATGAGTATAGATACAAAGATGCGGTTTTCACATCACTATACTATGTTTTTTTATGAAAGTAAAGATGTTACACAGAGATTTGTCCTAGTCCTCTTAGTACTTGAAATACAGGGCGAATATGAAAATGTTTCATTTTCCTTTTTCAAATTTTTCGACAAGATTTTCAAATTCGCATTGTATTTCAGGAACTAAAGGTGCCCATTCACATACAGTTCGCCGGCAGTCCAGAACTGTCGATTTGCATATCGTCAGTTAAAATTTCTCGATACACATACAGGTAGTAGTGGGAACTATCGAATGAATACTATCGAAACATTCGATAGTTGCAATTTATTCGAATAATTCGATAGCTAGTAAGAAAACATTCGTTTAAAACTATTCGAATAAAAAATATCGAATAGTATTCTAGTAATTCGGCAGCAAAATCCATTTTTGACCACTATTTAGGTATACGGCGAAGTGATAAAAATTTGTGAGAACTAATAATGCACTAACGCACACAAAAATCAAACGAATACTAAATTTTATTTATCAAAAGCATTCGATAGTCGTGGCCCAACGATAATCATTTAGTCGCACGGCGAGGTTGTCACATATGCTTTAGTATACAAATGAATGAATTATTTTAACCATTCGATAGTTGAAATCATTCATTCCGTAACCATTCGATAGTCTAATTCATTCGATAGTTCCCATCGTTACATACAGGCCGTCGACAGGTCTGAATCTGCAGATCGCTTGAATCTCACAGTCGACTGAAGTGTATGTCGAAAAATCGACAGTTCTAACAGTACGTTCCCATCTTTTGACAAGTTGGAGGTTTTGTACTATCAAGATATGAGCGATTTAAGTAATAAAACGACTTTTCTAACCGATTTTATTGATTTGTATAGGCAGTTGCCCTGTGGAAAATTAGAAGTAAAGACAGGAAAAAACTAAAGTTTATGAAAAATTTCTGGAATTTTATAAAACTGTAAAGAAAAAAATAAACAATTTGCAAAGTGCTTTCCGAAAGGAACCTATAAAAACGCGAAAATCAAAGCGTTCAGGTGAATATTTATTGTATTTTTCTTTCATATTAAGAGCTTAACCATCTTTAAAAGTTCATTAAAACATGTGTCATCCATCTTGAGGTAGTTTTTAAGGTCATCTGTTGCACTAGTTCTTAATTTTCGCACTTATGAGATAATGTATCACGTTGTTACAACCAATCTTTCACCCAAAAACGCTTCTTTGTCTTTGTAATTGGCTCTTGCAATAACAAAAGCACGAGAAGTGTATTATTTGTATTTAAAACATTTTTCACTTCAAGATTGTTCGATTAAAACGACTTGATTGTGTGGTGAAAGCACATTTTTCCTTCAGTTCAAAAACTGAGGGTTTCAAAACTGAAGATCGCATCGTTCGACGTAACTGCAATGTGTGTGGCCTGACAAAGTTGAGATCTTCAGTTCAGATCGCACGGTGCTAAAACTGTCGGCGAACTGTATGTGAATGGGCACCTTAGCATCTTTAGTTTCCTAAAACATTAGCACAGTAACGTGAAAACCGCATCTTTGAATCTCTACT